GATCGCAGGGGCACGGCCTCCCGGACAACGCACTGGCCGTGGGGCTGCCCCGCATGTAACCACAGACGAGCCGCCGGATTCTGCCCGCGTGTGCTAGAAGCGAGCTGACTAGAGCCGTTTCACGAGGTTTGACGGGAGAGCTGTGGCTTGAGCCACCCCACAGGGCAGCGAGGTTCGGGAGGGGTGGACACTGGTGAGCAGCACCTCACCCAGGGCTGCCAAGCACTGGAGCTGCACAGGGGGCGAGGTCCGGGCCCACCTTTCCAAAGACCGACAGCCTGAACCCACGTATGAGGGTGACCCACAGCGTGCATGCCAGGGGAGCAGCACCCTGTCGTTTTGAGGGAGGTGACACGTGAGCAGGGTCACGGATGCTCAGGACCGAGCCAGGCACTGTGTGATCTGGGGTCAGGAGAGACGCCCTGGCCATGCAGGAGAGGCCAGGAAGGGCTCCGTGCAGGCCTGTGTCTGACCCTGCAGGACTGGGGCCCACATGGGGCTGGGGCCAGGAGGAGGAGAGGCAAGGAGCTGAAGCGACAGAGTAGCTATTTGTATTGGAAAGGAATTCAACCTCAAGGAGCATTCCTTTTAGGATTACTTAAACAAATGATAACTCTCTTCATGCATTTCAATAGGATTTGATCCACGTTAAATTCAGACGTAATTTTCAAGGAAACACCTACTGGGGGGGGGGAAGGTGTGGACTGCTACACCAGCAAAGGTCCTATTTAAACTGTCATTTCACCAAAGGCAAGTTTAATGTGACTTACTTCTCTGACGTGATTATAGGCATGTTTGTCTTCATGCCTGCAACGACAAAGAAGTTCTATTAGTTTCAGACACATCTTCAAGGAGAAAAAAACACCAGAACATCTAGAAAAGACAAAAATTTCTTTTTTTTTTGCTATAGGGCATGTGCGCTCACCAGAAAGACAGAGAGAGACAGAGAGACAGAAAGTGAGAAATCACCCCCCGGGGGGATGGCCACGCCGCATGGGCACACACGCACACGCGCCCAGCATGAGTTTAAGCCACCGGGTCTGGGACTCAAACCATGGTTGACCACATGGGAGTCCAGCGACAGAGCCATTAAGCTAACTGCTAGTCCTGGTTGCTGTAAATTCTAACTCGCATTCGAACCTGTGTATGTACCACAGGGGAGCAGGGCCACGTGAGCCCCAGGACCCATGACACACACAGCACTCTGCTGGGGACTGCTTCAACAGGAAGGCCTCACTGACACGTCTGAGGATCCTCAAAGTAATACAGAACACGTTTTCACCAGTCCTAAAGACACGTTAGCTTTGCTTAGAACCCTAGCTGCTCTTCAGGGCGGTACAATTGCCAGCGTGCACACGATGTCTCTTCTAGAACTTTCCTAAGTACGCTGTGGGACAGTGTAAAAGATGAAGGGGAGCGACGACCTGCCAAGGGAGCTGCACGACGTGAGTTTACCTTTCCACCTGGCGACCAGCTTAGGGTCTGAGCCTGTGTAGTTCGGACGGCTTCTCGAAAGAACGCCTTTTCCAAAATAACCCTTTCGGGAAAAAAGAAGACAAAGTTAGTTCACATTTCGTTTTCAGCGTTCTGGCTCAGACAGAATACAGTTACAGGCGGAGCACCCTTCATTTGAAATGCTAGGGACCGGAAGTGTTTTGATTTGAGATAGTTGCACAGTCACAATACCTCTTGGGGATGGGACCCAAGCGCAACACAAAATTCTCCAAGTTCTTTAGGCTCCATAGGTACCTTATACACACAGCCTGACGGTAATTACATTTTTTCTGTTCTTTTTTTTTTTAGTTTTTGGCTATAGGAAGTGTGTGTTCACGAGAGAGAGAGAGAGAAAGAACCCCCCTCCCCGTGGGGGAGATGGCCATACCCCTTCTCCCCCATTGTCCTCTCAGGATTTTGGCATGTAGGCACACGCAGTCAGCGTGATTTTCAAGTCACTGGGTCTGGGACTCAAACCCCAGTCAGCCATGTGGGAGTCCAGCACTTCATTTTTAACATTTTTTGAGGAGAGATGTTTGCTATAGGGAGTGTGTGCTCCCTAGAGAGACACAGACAGACAGAAAGCAAGAAATCACTCCCTAGGGAAGATGGCCACAACACAATCCTCCTCCTCCATTCTCCTCTCGGGATTCTGAGTGCGCACACCAGGTGTGAGCTTTTAGTCCTTGGGTCTGGGACTTGAAAGGTGTGGGAGGCCAGCAATGTCACCATTCTGCCCTCTGCTGGTCACAGGAGTATAGCATGTTAACCACTAAGCCACCTTCGGGCCATTGCCTGATGGTTATTTATTTATTTATTTTTTTTATTTAAATTCCTTTTATAAAACATTAATTTAATTTTTTTTTTTTGGAGATGTTTTTGCTATAGGGTGCAAGTGCATGCCAGAAAGACAGAGACAGAGAGAAAGAGAAACAGAAAGCGAGAAATCACCCCCTAGGGGGGATGGCCACTCCACAATCCCTTCTCCATTCTCCTCTCAGGATCTTGGGCACACACACACACGTGCCTGGTGTGAGTTTAAGCCACTGGATCCAGGACAAGAACAATCATCAGCTACATGGGAGTCCAGTGACATAGCCATTATGCCAACTGCTGATCCCAAACATTTATTTAATTTTGTTTTTATTATTTATTTTTATTTGACCAGAGAGAAAGAGAAAGAGAAAGTGAGAAAGCAAACTGCCAGGCCCGAGACTCGAAACGCAGTTGGCCATGTGCAAGTCCAGCCCCATAGCCACCATGCCACCTGCTGGCCCCCGATGGAAATTTTATACAATAATTTTGTATTGCAGCAGTTTGACTATCGCCCATCACATAAGGTCAGGTACAGAATTTTCCACTTGTGATTTCATGTTTTTTTTGTTTGTTTGTTTGTTTTTGAGAGGTTTTTGCTATAGGACACATGAGCTTACCAGAAAGATGGAGAAAGACAGAGACAGAAAGTGAGAAATCACCCCCCCCCCAGGGGAATGGCCACGCTAATCCCTTCTCCTCCATTCTCCTCTCGGGATCTTGGGCACGCACGCACGCCTGGTCTGAGTTTAAACCACGGGGTCCAGAACTCAAACCAAGGTCGACTACGTAGGAGTCCAGTGACGTAACCATTACGCCATCTGCTGGTTCCCATCATGTTGTTTTTGAAGCATTTTGCGTTTACATTTATTTATTTATTTTTAATTTGGTATAGGGCATGTGCGCTTACTGAAAGGAGAGAGAGAGAGAGAGGGAGAGTGAGAAAACACCCTCCACGGGGAACGGTCACACCGCAATCCTTTCCATTCCATCCTCCCCTTGAGGTTGCTCGCATGCACCTGGTGTGTTTCTCAAGCCACCAGGTCCGGGACTCAAATGGAGGCTTCCATGTGGAATCCAGCTGCCTTAACCACCATGCTGCCAGCTGGCCCGAGCTTTCTGGCGTTTCGGACTGGGGATGCTCGACTGGTAGCTGAGTTCACAGGGGAATCCTCCCCACTTCTCATTCCCTCTGATTATTTACTATTATAATGACGATGTTAGATTTCATCTTCGGTTTGAGAGTTCTGGTAAATGTTTAGACACCCTGTTTATCTCGTAACTAATGACCTCAGGGTCTGATCAACTGAAGGCCACAGTGCAGACGGAGCAATTTCTCCTTCGTGTGTGGCTCAGGGACATCGCGCGACTGGACGCAGAGCCAGGCCTCCCAGGAACAGGCTTCTTGGACTCCGCTGTACTCCAGAGCTGACGAAATCGCCTCCTTCCTGTTCATTCCAAATGTTTGTTCCCCATTTCTCATGATACAATATTTAAAGACAAAGAAAACTGAAATAATAAACACTCTACCCTCTACCTAGATTTATCGGGTGGTGGGAAAAGTCATGACAGGTTTTTGCGTATGACCGATACTGTAATGCTCAGAATAAGGAGCGTGTGTGGCTCCCTACAGAGCGTCCTGCTCACTGCTGTGGGCTGTGAATAAAGGCCTTGCCGAGAGCTGGGGAGAGACACTGTTTTGGCTTATTCAGACTCCCACCTTCCCAGGGCCAAGCCCGCCCCTTTTCTGTGCCTAGAGAAGGCCCGTTTATGGGTAGGAAGCCAACCGGAGGTTCCTTGGGCTGGAGGGATCAAGTGTGGTGGGCACCGGGGGACCTTGTGTGGTAATGAGAATGTCCTAACTGGGCTGTGGTGGTGGTACGCAGCTTTATAACTTTTTTTTTTTTAAATTTTATTTGTTCATTTTTAAATTTGACCAGAGAGGGACAGAGTGAGAGAGAGGGAGAGAGAGAGGAAAAGTGAGAAAGCAAGCCGCCAGGTCTGAGACTCGAACTGTGGTTGGCCAGGTTGGTGTCCAGTTCCCTTAAACACCATGTCACCTCCTGGCCCCACACCACCAT